ATTATCAATACGAATAGTGGACATTAAAAAAAATGATGAAGTTATAAGGTATGGAGAAAATATGTTACCCTAAAATTTGGATATTATAAGCATGTGTGTGGAGTGCAAACCCAGTACCTATTTTGTTCTTATTGTGCCTATGTACTTAATGATGAGACAGTGAGACACCATTATTTTCTAAATTATCTTAGAAATAGTGACATGTTCCAGAGTACGGGGTATTACTTTTGCAAACTATTTGCTCGGTATAAATTAGTGCGAAGAATATGTCTTAATCATTTTTCATATGTGGATTAATGACACTATAACTATACAATATACACCCCATCTATTATCTATGTAGTATATTTTAGGGGAATTGTGAGTTTGCACCCAACCTTTTGGGTTATATTGGACTTTATACTCTATTTTCAAAACTTTTAGACTTTGCACGCTATCTACAACATTTTGGAAGAAAAAATCCAGAATGGGGTGCAATGGCAAAGACATTTCAAGGCAAATAAGGTGCAAAGTCTAAGAGTTTTGAAAATGAAGTACAAAATCCAATATCATCCAAAAAGTGGGATATAAACTTGCAAAGTCAAAATATCATATACTATCCTCCGTCTCACAATAGATGCAACATGAGTTTAGGCACAGGATTTAAGAAAAGTATATAAAGTGATTTCCTTCCTATTATACCCTTCGGTACTACGCTTTGGGTTGAAGTAGATAGGGTAAAATAAATAATATACCCCGAACTTTGCCTTAGTGTGAGTTCCCCACCTCGAACTTCTCCTAGTTTAAAAAATACCCCCAACTTTATTTATTTAAATTTTTTGTACCATATTTTAATTAACAAATAATATTTCTCAAATTATAATATGTTAATTAGATTTAGTTGTCAAAAAAAGATTAATTAACATATTTTTTGTACTTAAATTAGAGATTTTGAAGTTATTTAATCAATTCGAAAAGCACACATTAATTTGGGAATCACACATCTTTTTTTGCCAACTAAATCTAATAAAAATATTACAATTTGAGAAATATTATTTGTTTATTAAAATATGGTACAAAAATATTAAATAAATAAAGTTGGGGGTATTTTTTAAACTATGACAAGTTTGGGGTGGGGAGCTCACACCAAGGCAAAGTTCGGGGTATATTATTTATTTTCCCCAAGATAAAAGGTATAGACATGTCACTGTACAAGAACAATACTGCTTTTCAGAGCTTTTCAGATTACAAATAGGAGAGGTTTCCAATTACTCTTCCACGAATTCCGGCTCTGTCTAGTAGAAGCTGTTCACGATGAGGTCGTCACCTCATTTCATCGCCCGGAGTAGCTTTTCCGTAACCTCTTTCTGAGCCTGGCTTTTGATTTCTTTCGGTTCCACCACGCACCCTTTCACCCGAGCTTTGCAAAACTGAAACCTTGTTATTTTAAGGTGATGGAAGTCCGGCGACGGTGAACATCTCTGTGTCCGACTCCACCCCTGAACCTTGTATGCCATGATCTTAGCTGAGCAGATTAAGGAGAAGCAGCACGCACGACCTGTTGAACACGATTCTTGGGATGCTCAGCCCCTCGTTTAAATCCAGATCTCTCCAAATCTCCATTTTGTGGGAAAAGTTAAAAAAATGAAAACTGAATTATCTGGGATGGTGAAGGAGTAAACAAGGTGTGGGCATGTTAGAATAGAAAGAGACATAATGTATAGGGAGGAAGACAATCGATGGGGTGGATGGCAAGAAATTTTGGGAAAGGGAGTAATGGGAGACCAGAGGTGAGAGAGAGAAATTAGAAAAGGTAGCTATGAAATGATTAGGGGTATTATAGACATTGTATTTATTTTGTTTACCAAAAATAGAAGTGTTGCAACTAATTTGAAACTGCCAAAAAAGGAAAGTGCTGCAATTATTTAGAGACTGAGAAAGTACTTGGTATTTTATTATATGACAATACTCAAAATGACACAATAGTACCTCATTTGAGGATTTTTCACATAACAATTGGTAAAAGATAGGAGAAAAGGATATCACTGGAGTATTTATAAGATTTTTTTCAATTTCATTCAGTTCTTTTGCTTAAATTTTTTAAGAGTTGAATGAATGAATGAATTTATAAGAATAAATAGATTTTCAGACTACCCCGTTCCTGTTCTTTTTTCAAATAAATAGATTGCTACAGTGTTCCCGCCCAAACTCTCCTCCCACTATTTTGTTATTATATATAATATATAATAATATAGATATATAGATATATTGATATAAGCAAAAAATCCTAGCAGACGATATTAATGTCTGCCCCCAGCCTTAGGCTCAAACAAAATCTTTATTCTCGATAATGAATAATAGTTCACAAGACCTCCTTAAATAATCCTTAACCTAATAATAAAATATGGTCATCTAGGCCCAGTAACCTAATAATAAAATATGGCCATCTAGGCCCAGCAGTCAACCCAGCCCAATTAGGTACACCGACAACGACAGTGAACTAATAACGGGCGAGACCTGTCCTCCTGAAGCATCGTCCCAGTTGCCTCTTCCTAGAGCCTCGGCCCATCTGCCTCCCACTCCCTAACATATATATAGATTACTTAAGTTACTGAAATTAATGACCTAATTTTACTTATTTTCTTAAGTTACTCTAATTAGATATTTGTTCTAACTCATTTTTCTTAAACATTTGTGTCATATAAAGACTAAACAATCTGCATAAAAGTAAACTTTGAATACAATCAATCAAGTTAGATTTTAACATTTTTCAAGGTACAAGCAAATACCAAAAAAGGCAGTTTAGTTCTATTCTGCAATACCATATTCTCTGTTAAAAGTATTGCATACATAACCATCAAATAAACTCATTTGTCTAGAAAATAGGATATCCTAGCTGCCTAGTCTCAAGAAATAAAATTAACAAGACAGCTAAAACATCAACTATCCCTAATATACAGGAATATCCTTAATTTTGCTAAATCATAATTTCAATACAGAAAAGAGAGGCATTGTACTAGATTACTAGATCAGATTTTATAACAAAAAAATTATCTGAATTAACAATTTCTTGACCTATGTTTCAAGTGTCAACGAACAGCCACTAAATCGAAGAGTTTTCATAAAAGAAATGATTTTTGCATTTGGGGTCCATGAGGGAATGATAAAAAGAGACAACTTCATTTAAATAAAGAAAGATTTTTACTAGTGCCTTCTTATCCGTCATTGTTCATATCCTTTCATACAACTTCCATCAAACACATGGTGGGCATTGTTCATTTTGAACACTGCTAAGAATGAAAAGAAACGATTCAGTCAAATACATCATACAACCCTCACTAAATAGAAACGATTCAGTCAACAACTCCTAAGAAAATCAGATGCAAATATTGAAGGGCAAGAGTTAATGGAGAAAAGCACATCAAAAGCAAAAATTGGAATCTGCTATGAGCTATTCAATTTTTAGGGCAATTGATTATATTCAAAGAAATAATGAGTGCACTCGTGATTTCCTACTTGAAACTGGAAAAGAGAAACAACGCTTCCTCTGTTGAAATTCAAGTAATTATATTCAATACCATACAAGTAGGACGAACTAACAGAACATAAAAGCAATCACATAAAGAAATCAGCTTGAAATCATTATAAGTAAAATGCATACTTAAGGTGTACATAAATCTCTCTTAATATTTTGTGCAGAGCATGCTTAGAGTACAGAAATCAGCTTGAAACAATTATAGGTAAAATGCATAACTAAAACTATATAGGCAGTTGAACTTTTAGGATAGAATGCTATGTGTTACCATTCTTACATTTTGGGAAGAACATAAGGTGATTGTTCACTGATATGGCAAGCAGAGCATCTCCAAGGTACGGAAGAAAATATATGATCATTGCCAAAATGCAAAGTTTAGTTTGATCGATTGCAGAAATTTCAAGTAAATATTACTCCGTACAAGATTAAGGTTTAGGGTAAATATTACGGAGTAGATAAATATTGACAAGCGACAAATCATGTACACTTATATAGTTATATATGATTAGCTTGTTCAATTTGTATCATATGATCAAACAGAGAGATATACCTTGAACCCAGACTTTCAAAAATTAACTTCATCTTGAGAAAATCAGTACACATTTCATAAATAAACAACGAGATTTAAGCGTACCTAATAATGCATTGTTTTCTGTTGCTATTGCAGCATAGGAGTCAAATAGCTATATATTATCTGATATTCCAAATGTTTTCATGCTTGAAAAACAATGGTAGATTAACTTCTCATACAAATATCATATAACAGGCCGAATTAATCCAATCAATAAATAGTCATACTTAATTCTATCAAAGTAATCTAACTTGCTGGAATTTGAAGTTTTCAATTGATTTAATTTCAGCCTTTACTCTCAACTCGAACAAGCACAAGCTCTACACTTATCAACAAAAACTGATCAAGTCAAACCATAAATTTGAACTTTTCATCTTCCAAGATGATTCTTGGATTTCAAACAGCTTTACCTCCCACCAATTGCGAGTATAACATACAAAATTCTAGTTTTGAAACTTGCAGAATAAATTCCATAACATATACAAACATCATAACATAGTCAGTTAAATAAACTGCACTCTCAGCGAGTCAGCGACAGATTCTATTGTGCAACATAAAATTTGATTATCCAATTGTTTCTCTTTGAGTGAGAAAGGAACACATCATTTTACATTCACTTGTTTCGTTTTTGAAAAGTTTGAACGCTGTACAATATTACCCTTTAAAAGTCATGAGACTGTTGACTGTAATAACTTATTGGTATGATCTAAAGAGAAGCTTCTCACAGGGTCACAGAGCTCATAAGAAAACTTTATAGGGCTAGAGTCCTTCTCTGAATATACCTAAGCTCTAAAATAGAAACAACCAATAAAAAAAATAGAATTCACTACTTTCAATGCCAAGCAAAGAAAGAAGTGCACAACGAATGATCTTTATAAAGAATTGATAGTGTTCATTCAATATCTGATAGATTGTCTGGAATCCTGGAGTGTTGAAAGCGAAACAGGTGTATGTAAAATTGATAGTGTTCAATATCTGGAGTGTTGATTAATACGAAGTAATAATAGTGCAATTCTTAACTAACAAAGTATTTATTAGTCAGGCAACTTTTAACTAACAACAAGCTAGAGCACAGTAATGAAATCCATCATCATAGTATCATACTAATCTAGTATCAAAGCCTTCTCAGTGATCCCACCCAGGCCGATGGAAGTGAAAAAATTAATTGCAAACCTTGCGTTATTCCGGTTGTCCCTTGGAAAAATAGAGGCAAAGGACTCTTGCATTGTTTGGTCATTCAGGCGTTCTTTCAAAAGCCGAATCCCAAGATGTTCATATAATTCTTGAAAGAGAATTTTGATGAAGATGCGAGAAGAGGAGGTGGTATATTCTTCTGTGAGTCGAATGTAAGCCAGAACATGCCAAGGCAGAGCATCAGTTCCAAGCAAGTGGGCAAAGAACTGGGCAACATTTGTCAGTTTATTGGTTTCCAACCGATGAACCGTTGAGTACTGTTGCACAAAACACTTTTCAAAGTTCTCCTGGTAAATCTTGTTGATCATACAAAAACGCTGACCCAAAAGCCCATAGTAAGAGCGGTAGGTTCTCTCCTGGCTGCAGCACTCTAGAAGCATTATACATAATTCGATCTCTTGACCAGGCTCAAATTTAATCTGCAACAGTTTATGACCTGCTTCCTCAAAGCCCACACTCGACATAATTGTGAGATAGATTGTTCTTCGAAGGTTGACCAAGTTTGTTCCCGTCAGGTCAGTAATTTTCATTTGTTCTTCATGGTCTTCATCCTCTTCATCTTTATCTGCAGAGTCAGCATCAGAATCCCCTTCTCCCTCAGATTCATCACCCAGTATTGCCCTTTTCAAGTCTTCATACTTCTTTTCGTTTTCTAAGTAATTGGGATGAGGCTTGAAAATATTCAGTGCATCTTGGTCTTCTATGGCATCCTGAAGAGATATTTCATGGGTCACCTGATCCTCCTGCTCTACCAAATCGAGCTCCGGACGAACAGCAGGATAACCCTGAAACATTGATTTACGTATTGCAAAGAGGCCTTCAATCAGGAACTGAACTCTTTTATGGATCTCTCCTTCATGAAGAATCCCACGAAACCGCTCGAAAATACCATACAATCCATGTGGAGTCAAGTTTTGGAGAATAGATCCACACTCAGTAACAAAACCAACTGCAACTTCAACACTGTCAACTGAGGGGTTTTCAAGCAAAGCTGAAACAAGTTCAAGAGCAATTACCTCATGAACTACTTGCTGGTTCACAAGATGAGCAAGGAATTTAACAGCTGCCAACAATCTGGGTTTATCATTGCGTTTGAAGGCTCTTTGAATCTGCAAAATAATCCTCCTCAAAAGAAGATCCCCCACCTCTGGAAACTTGGTGTTAACAACAGCAGCCAATGCTGCAAAAACATCAGTAAGCCCAGGAGCAGCCATTTGGGACCTGATACAAGAGCGGCAAAACAGGCCCCTTCCACGAATCAGATTCTCAGCGAACAGTTCTGGAATTATGTTCTTGATATTTGTTGCGGTCACTTTATTAACCACCCCGTTTATACTCTTCCTAAGAGCATCCCACGCCATCCTTTGGGATTCCACTGAGCTTTTGTCCTCTGCATCCTCCATCATCCTAGCCAGCTTAAAAGGAGGGAAGTAAACTCCTCCGCTTTTCCCCCACAAATCATGCTTTCTCCTTCTCCTACCATGCTTGTCTTTTTCACCAATTATAATTGTAGTTAACGCCATGAGTTAATTGTAATTGTAATCAGAAGAAGAGAACGATGAGGATATTGAAGACGAAGCGGTGTATATATATATACACCAACGTAGGGTCGGTCAGGGTACGTAGATCTCTATAACTCTATTTGAGGAAGGAATGCTCAATTGCCAAAGAATTTTGCTAGGGGTACACAATTTGTGTACACCCTTGGCACCTCATATAAAAGGTTCTCCTTTTTTTTACCTTCCTCCCTTCCCAATTCAAAAATTTACCTCATCTCAATTTTGTCTTCCACCCATCGACATCTCCCGCCCCACTCCCGCACGCACCCCTCGAAATCCGAATCTTCCGCCCTACTCCCGTTCGGCCAGCACTAATGCAGAGGACTGAAGATGAAGGTGATAGAACCGACCTTCGTCGTACTGAACTGAGCTTCGCCGGTGTGTCCCTGCTACGTGGGAGAAACAACAACGCAGAGAAAAGAGGGCTGAAATCCTGTGTGGCACTGACTTTGAAAAACCGACGAAGGCTTGCTCCAACAACGAACGGCTTGCGCTGGTACAAGGTTGAACCCCTGTGTGGCGCAGAGAAGGAACGAGCGCAACCACCCCTCGCTTCTACGTGGAAACCAGTTTGAAGTTATGGTGCAAAGTAGTTTGACAGATCTTGGTGAAAGGTAATTTTTTTATCCTTGTGTAGTAGTCACTTTAGCATAATTGATTTAATTTAATTAAACAAGACCTAATTTTGTTTATGTGATTTAAGAGTTGTATGACATGTTGTTTGTGTATTGTGAGATGTCTGTTACACGTTTTGAATTGTCTGTAAAGAGTTCATAAATGTCTATGATGTTTTAAATACATGTTTGTCTTTCATATTTCCTTGTCTGTGATTTGTTTTGAGTTGTGTGTCATTTGTTTTGAGTTGTCTGTCATTCGTTTTGAGTTGTTTGTCATTTGTTTTGAGTTGTCTGTCATTTGTTTTGAGTTGTCTGTCATTTGTTTTGAATTGTCTGTAAGGAATTTATAATTGTCTGTGATGTTATAAATACATGCTTTGAGTTGTTTCCCCCATTTTGTCTATAATGCTTTTTGTAATAATACCTTGAAACATTATTTATTTTGAGTAAAAACAGTTGTAATAAAGGTTTCACCGCTATTGACTTAAAAAGTCAAACAAAGTTTTGATGGACAGATGGTAAATCCATATGAGTTCAGTTCGGTTTAATTTTGATAGTATTTCCAAATCGAAGTAAATGAAATCGAATTGAAACAGTGAAAAACTCTCTAAAACCGAACCAAACTAAAATATTCAATAAATTCTTAATGTATTTTCAAAATAACAAATCCAAATTGAAAAACCCTGAACCGAATCAAACCTAAACATTCTATGATTTTTCTTTGGTAATCTTTCTTCCCGTTTCAAACAAAAATCAAACAAAAAACTGATGTAAATCAAACTGAAACGGGTATATATGCAATATGCCCACCTTTGAATTAATTAAATATATGTATATCTTCAATGCAAACAAGACTCAAATAGTTCCTTACAAATGAACAAGTATATTACTTCGTATTAATTTATGTAAGCATATTCTTATTTCCTGCTAAACATAGTTTCATTTGTCTGTCGTTCATATTTTCTTGTTTGTCCTGTGTTTTGAGTTGTCTGTAAGGAATTTATAAATGTGTGTGATGTGATAGATTAATGTCTGTCATTCTTATTGACTTGTCTGTCTTATGTGGTGTGCATTTTTGGACATGTTATAGGGCTTTCGAATTGCAAGTTCCTGTCCGTGATCACTTCCCTACTCAAATATCACTATGTTCAGAATTGAAAGACGCTACAAAGTTGGTGAAATCAGCTTTGTCTCCTCAGCAACTTGCTCAGTTTCGGAATATGCCGTGGGTCCATCTTCTTGATGTGCCAGACCTTCAGTTCTTTGCGCAAATTGTCCATAGCTTGTTGTTGAGGCTTGTGTGCAACCAGCCCAAAGAGGAACTATGGTTTTAATTTATATAATGTTTGTACTTTGTAGCATAAAATTCTTAAAAAAGAGATAGGCAACGACAAACATTGAAGTGGAGATAAATACCTGCAAAAGCTGGACTGGAAATCTTTACAAACGGTATTGTCTGTCTAAGTCTTGTAAATGTCTGTCTATTTTAATTTTGCTAATATTTTGTTTGTCTCGATAGAACACCTAGACTTTTTGATGAATTGTTAATTTTTGGCAGGTTTTGGTTCCTTTAAATATAAAAAAGAAGCATTGGGTCTTTGCGGAAGTTTTGTTTGGGAGTAGACTGGTTAGAGTTTACGACTCGCTTATGATTTATAGGACTCCATTTTATGCTAAGGAGTTGTGTGCGCGGCTGCCTTACCTAGTTCGTGCAATGGGTTTGTGTGCGGATGACAGTGATTTGCAACCATGGAAAGCAGAAGTTGCGGATATTGTGCCTCAACAAAAAGAATCGTATGAAATTCAATATTAATGTGGCGTGATGGTCCAATGTTATATTTTCAATGTTGTACAATGTTAGATACTCAATGTTGTACAATAATCTTCAACAATTGGTTGCTATATTTTCAGCATGTATGACTTTTTGCAAATATTACAATCAGAGTTGACCACTTATTTATGTGGATATTTTGTCTGTATGGAATCTATCGTTTTGTCTGTGAATATTTTCACCATTAACATACTTCTATTGTCTGTGATTTGCACAACACAAAATGTCTGTCTGGTTATGTATTTTGTCTGTGTACATATATGTATTGTCTGTCTATTATTTGAAGCAACGCAACATTGATGATTCATAAGAACCTTAAGTTTTCAGTCTCCCTGTTATCATTCACACACATTACGTTTATACGAGGTAATAATGTTCAAAGCACAAAAGAAAGTACATGATAAACTACATCAAACTAAGGTTTAAGTCCAACTCATTATCATTCATACATTCCATAAATGATTATACCGAAATAGCCTTGCCTTCGTATGACTCATATCATGATTATGATCTAAACAGGACTTTGAAATTACCCATCCTCCGACATAATCTGTACGTTCTCTTATTCTTAGGATGTTTTTACTTGGACTGTAATTTGTCCCAGACCAGACCAGACCAGACCAGTCCAGACCAGACCAGACCAGTTCAGACCAGACCAGACCAGACCAGACTTGGATAGTTATAAAAATACAAAGAAACCAGACCTTACCAGATCAGACCAGACCAGACCAGTTCAGATCAGACCAGACCAGATCAGACCAGACCAGACCAGACCAGCAAATTACAGTCCAAGTAAAAACATCCTTACAAGGCAACCAACTTGCATTGAAGGTTGACGCTTCAAAATATTTTGTGTCCGGCTAGCCTTAATTCCAGCACAGGCACATTCTAAGACAATCGCAATGATGTTGCCGGATTTATCTTTACTTGAAGTCCGTTGTCTAACAGGAAACCCCACTCTTCTACCATAAGCCTTGTAGAAATCATAAACTGCCTCTTTACTAGGAAACTACATTGGGGTCTTTATAACTACTCTTTTCTTCCTCTTCGTCTGTTATATATTCCAAAAAAAATACATGTTCATAACAATTTACAACTCACAACATGTTGTCTGTCCAGACAGACAATAGTATGCCTAATTTTTTTCACAACATTCTTGTGTACATTCACAAATACAACCACATGCCCAAAACTTATACACACTTTCACATAACAACTACATTATTCATCAAAACATACTACAAAAAACTCTTGTACCAATACTTGAATGCCCATACAAATATTATTTCTATGTAGACAAACAAATTACATTGTCTGTCAGACAGACATTTTACATATGAGTCAAACAACAACCCTATTATGTTTCAGTAGACAGACACTGCACTTATAACTAGTCTGTTAGACAGACAACCCTTTTCATATCCCAAATACACCAAAAAATCAAGAAAACAAAATCAAGAAAATCAAGAAAACAAAACCAAGACAACAACAAATACTCAAGCCTTCGACCGACCTTGTTCATCATCCGCCCTCGACCTCGCATCCAGTTTGCCGGAAACCGGCATACAAGCATCATCTTCACCTTCATCACCTAGCTCTCCAAAAATCATGCTATCCAATAGTAAGCCATCAACCCACTCAGATGTATCATTCCAGTTTAGCTCCATTGAAGAAGACTTTTACTAGAAAAGATGAAGGATATCACTGTAGCTCGATCTTGCTTCCGATTTTTTTTGGCGGAATGGTTCTGCGCAGAGGAGGTGGAAGGGAGGGTTGTGAGAGGGCAGAATTTTTGGAGGGGGTAAATGTTGGTAAAAATAGGGGCCTTTTATATGGGGTGCCAAAGGTGTACACAATTTGTGTACACCAAGCAAAATATCATTGCCAAATCAATTGCTTTCTTTCCCCTTGCTTTTCAATTTCTTTTAAGAGTTACATTTGGGGAAGTTATATTTTTGGAAACCGGATTTTATATTTTTGGAAAGTTATAGTCTTGAAAGGTTATATTTTGAATGTGATATTGTTTTTAAAAATGTTATAGGATGTTTTTACTTGAACTGTAATTTGCTGGTCTGATCTGATTTTGTTTGGTTCGGTCTGGTCTGAACGACTGAACTGGTTTGATCTAGTAATATCTGATTTCTTTTTATTTTATAATTATCCAAGTCTGGTCTGATCTATTCTGGTATGTTCTAATCTGGGACAGATTATAGCCCAAATAAAAACAGCATTCCTCTTATGTTGATGTGTGATTTAGTTGTGGTTTAAGGATATTATTATTACCACTATAAAAATGTTTTCAAACTATAATAATAAAGCGAATGTGAATTATTCTAAGCTTTTTAAGGTATTTAAATTACAAATGTCTTGGTAAAGAATTGTTTTATAGCCTATATGAGAGATTTTTGTCAAGAGTTACGATATTCTATATGGAGTGATAGTTTGTTTAAAACTTATAAATGTTTTTTTACCTACAAGGACTAACAATATTAATGATTAATAAATCCATATACTAGTATAGTAGTAGTTACAAAAAAAATTAACGAGCATGTGACGTGCTCTTTATTGAGGTAGTCCCTCCGCACGTAGACTTCTACATGATAATTAAACAAATTAAATGATGTACTTTGCTTCATTGGGCATTTCCTATTTCCATGTTTAAAGATAAAGACAAATGCAAAAATAAAACTCCTATACTAATGTGACAAGGATACGATGTGGCATTATACTTCAATTTGATTGGCTTAAAAAATTGGGTACCGGTACATATTAATTTAATGAAGGCACCGTAGAATTTTTCCAATTTTTATTTCTGAAATCAACTATTAACATGATTAGTTTACAATTTTACAAATATTTCTTACAACAGTTATTGTAAACAAAATGTTAAGTTTACCGATATAAGGCCCAAATAATTGAAAATTGTCAATCTAAGATCTAAAATATCAAGAATTATTTATTATTTTAATTTTTTTTAAAAATTAATTTAACTTTAGTTAACAAATAAACTTTTGTGAAGAAAAAAGAAAAAATGCACAAATGTTCCTTAAACTATCATCACCATATCATTTTGGCATCTAAATTAATAAATCTGTCATTTAGTCGTGTTCTATTTAGAACCGTTTGATAACTCTCAAATTGGTTGAATCGGCTGAATCGGATATATTGATGATGTTATAGTTGAAGCGACAAAATTAAGGGAAATTTACATTTAAAATATTTTTTATTAATAAGTTGAGAAATAATTACATATCCTAATAAGAAACTGCTATCCTTTAATAACTTGATTAAACAAAGTCCAAATGTTTAACCAAATAAATTTCAATTTAACCTCAGCTCCATGTAGAATTTACTCGTCAAATAGAAATTTAAATCTTCAATCAAATTACTAAACCTTTTATTATTTCAACATAAATAATTTTATTGTTTCCCTTTTCCTCAAATATACTTCCTCTGTTGTTTTTTAGTTGAACGCTGTCATTCTCATGTTCTCTAACACACAACTTTGAATATTAATATATCTTTTTAGTGAAACATTACTAATGATATTTTTATAAATTCAATTTAAAAATATTATATTTTGAAAACTTAATATGGAGGAATTTCATAATTTTTTTAATATAGATTTCTAATACATTACAAAATGTCACTTATTTAGCATTGCTTGATAATGTAAATTCTTCTTTATTGATCAGTATGTCATATTTTTTAGGGAAATTTGTATCTTTCGCCCCGTAATTTTCAGTCGTTTTCACTATTGGTCCTGTAACTATTAATATTTGCGATCTGGTATGTTCTAATATGATTTTATCAAAATTGATCTGGTACATGTATGTTCTATGTGTATTTTGCAACTGTCGAATTCTGACCGAGTTTGATCTAATCTGGGTTGATATATTTTGTTCTGATATAAGACTGATAGCAATATAATTAAAACAATAAATAAAAGTGATGGAATTTATGCAATTGTATTCTAAGCTATTACTTTGGATTAAGGGGGAAATAATAATTATCTCAAACTTTGAAGTTGTGTGAGAAAATACCCCAAATTTGCATATGCAATGTAAATAACGCAAATTCTATATAAAATTATATGTTTTCAGCATGATTATATGGTTTTTACAAATATAAATTTATTATCCCTTTTAATTTACATAATTTTTAAGAAGTTAGAATTAAAAGAAGTCAATTACGGAGTACTACTTGAGAGCCTTTTCTCTCTAGGCGGCCGTCTCCCCTAGGGTTATGGGTTGTTTTCTCCTTTTTCGTCTTCAACGAAGTGCAGCTTTCTTGTGCGGCTTTCGTCCGCCTTTCGTAAGGTTTTCTTCTTCGGTAGACCGCAGCGCCTATATGGCGGCCAAAGGTGGTGTATCCCTTGCACTAGGTGGAGAGTTTCAAGAATGTCGTTCATGGTTGGGATCAGAAGGTCATGGAAGAAGTGTGGGGCTAGGGGTTGGAACAGATCTGGACCGGAGACAATAAGCGGAAGTAGACCTGTCAACGGGTCGGGGTCGGGCCGGAACATAGTATCCCACACCCGGACCCGTTAGCCTCTATAGGGTTCCAGACATGACCCATATACCCGGCGGGTCTAGAACTAATGTTCCGGACCCATACCCATTGGATCTCGGAACCGGGTCGGGTAGACCCAACCCGTCTCACGAAACACTTTAAACATGAAAGTTCCAGATCTACACATTCAAAATGTAACACATATGGTGCACTGGTTTTGCCACGGTGGAATAAACTTAAGTTCTTCAAAAACATAAGTTTAATGTAACAAATAAGGTGCACTGGGCAACTGCAAAAACATGAGTTTTATCCAAAAGTCTCTTTGAATCTGTGATAATAAAAACAACAAAAACAAAAATAACTTCATCTGACTTTTACAAAAGCATAATTCCAAAAGCATAACTCCAGTAAGTTTATTTCACATAGAAAAGAGCAATCATTCTATGCTTTACATTCTGCAAAAACATTCTGGCACTAGATTATGACTCTTCCAGTGATCTACTACAACTCCATGTCTCTCTGCAAAATCTCCTTGCAAAAACAAAACTGAAAATTGAAAAAAAAAAAGATAGAATAATTATTAACAATAAGTGTAATCTATCATTAAAGCAAACCCTGTGTTATGATATTCATTTT